AGTCGGTGATCGCCTTGATCTTTTCGGTATCAGGGCGTACGCCGTGTTTACCCACGATGCACCCAAGAAGTGGTATTTCGCTTGCCGCAAATATACACTTCTTGAGGTTTGCGTACAACTTATGCTTGCGCATAAGTTGAAGGACTTGACGAACGTGAGTTCTGTGTACTTCAATGTCCGTCTTTCCGTCCATAGCCCGGCTATGGACGAACACATCGTCGAAATAACTCGGTGCGAAGTCTCGCACCGGTCTCAACAGATTTGTAACACATCTGTTGAAAGTAGCAGGGGCATTACTCAGCCCCTGTGGCATCACTAGCCACTCCCACAGCATACCGCTGGGGGTGCTCACTGCCGTGTACGGGATGTCCCGTTCACGCATGAGGATCTGATAGAATCCATCCATCAGATCCATGGACGAAAAGATGGTACTCTTTAGCAGACCTTCTATGATTACGTCCTTCCTCGGTATCGGCGTCTGAGCCGGTACCGTTGCAGCGTTCAACTTGTTGAACGCGTGCACTATCCGCCATCCTCCTGTGGCCTTTCGCACACAGAAGGTAGGAGAGCTGTGAGGGGATGTTGATTCCCTCACATGGCCCGCTGCTAAGCTATCGGCAAAGAACTTGTCGATCGCTAGTACTTGTTCACGAGGCAGTGGCCACTGCTTCATGACACAGTACTTCAAGCCCGGTCTGAGCTCGATCTCGTGTCGAGTGCCTTTGTCCTTAGACAACTCGCAAGGTACGGATTCAGGGAATACATCCTTGAATTCGATCAAATCCTTGTACAAAGGATTTGCCTGAAGTGACTTCCAGGATTAAGACGTGTATCGCTCAATCCGAGTCTTCTCATCGAGGACAATTCCGTCCATCGATGAACTGCTGAGAACCCGTTCGTTCTCAGAAATTATTGTTGCCGACCGAATATCGGCCACATATTCATCCTCCGTGACGAGAATGCTGATCTGCTTGTCTTTGCCACTACGCAGATCACGCAAGAACCGTTTAGGTTCTAGCGTTGGCAACTGAGTTATCTCCGAAGTTAACTTCGGAGGCACAATCAGATCAAGCGTATAAGGGCCTACGCTTTATCCGTCATTAACCAATACGTTCAACGTCTCGGTTACTTCCTGGGAACTTCTTTCCACAGGTTGCTGAAGACCTAATCCTTCGGCAAGTGACTCTTGAGGAATTCCTGCCTCAAGTACGTGGGGAATTATTCCCTCGATGTCTTCTGACTGTGGCTGTGCAACCACATTCAGGCACCGATCTTCTACGGTCGACTCTCCAGTCGACCTAGGATTTCCATGTTGCCCTTTGGAGGCAACATGTTTCTTACTTCAAAGATGCTACCCGCTAGGCATGCATCCATGTCCCGGTCCACTCGACTTCTTCGAGTGGTGGACCTTCGGCGCAGCCTGTACTTCTGTACAGACGCCGGGAGGTTGCTCCACAGTGTAGTGATCAACTACACTGTGATCTTGTGCAGTCGTGCTAACGACCGTACCGCAAGTGAGGCCATCGCACTCACTCGCAGAACATCCACACGCTTGTGGACGCTCCAAGATGTTCATCAGATGGCCATCTGATGAACAAGCGGCAGGCATCTTCACGGATCGATGCTGCCAGCTCACCCTTGGCTCGTACTTTCTGAGCCAAGGTAATCCCAGGATGACATCAAATTTGTCATCCAGATCCAGTACGATGAAGTCATCATCTTACTGTTCGCCCTCCAACGTGTAGTGGATTCCTACTACACGTTTGTTAACGGAAATCGATGCGCCTGTTGCAAGGCGCACCGTCATCCTCGTGAGGGGAATGTCGCGCTCAACGAACTTGAGCCTACGACCCTCTAGTGACTGGCGACGAACAAAGTTGTTCGACGCCCCACAGTCTACTAGGGCACGAATTGACAAATCATTTGTCGCTTCCAACTTCAAGGTGATGAGCGAAACGTCATCACCAGGTGCAGAGACACACAATGATTGTGTATCTGGAGCAACTTTCGTCAAGAGATTTTCAAATTCTCTTGAGGTTGCTGGATCAGTAGGGCGCTCCGCCCCTACTGACCCCGACCATTTTTTGATGGTCCGTCTCGCTGTTGCGGCTTCGCAACAGCGCTGGACCCACGCCCATTGCCCTTCTTGGCGAATGGTCGTCCATTTCGCTCAGTACTGCTTGGTACTGGGCGTGGGGCACTACACTCATGTGCGAAGTGCCCTAACTTCTGACAGCGATTGCACTTCAGCAATCGCTTGTTGTTTGTAGAGCGAGGTCTCTCGCTCTCAACATAGCAGAGGTCCATTGGTTCTGGACCCCCGATCTCTTGTCGTCTCGGTGGACGATAAGAATTTGAGCTAGCATGAGCCTGTCTCATGCTAAAGTGTTCCTGTTCCGCGGCTGATATCGCATCTTCCAGCGTATTCAGCTCAAGGCGGAACAGGTGGCTCCTGACGGGCCCTTCTACAAGCCCTTGCATGAACACCGTAATCAACGTGTGTTCATGAACTGGGTTAGCAGTTATACTACTCGCTAGGAGTCGTATATGTTGTGCGTAAGCGTGCACACCACGCTTACCCTGCTTGAGTTTCAGGAGCTCTGAACGAGCCCTGGATCCAGCCCGTGGCGGCTCAAACGTTTGTCTGAGCCGGGCCTTGAAGTCATCTAGCGACCTAAACACATTTGGGTCGCTACTCTCGAGTCCCAGAGACCAAGTTTTGGCACGTCCTGCCAAGTGGGTTTGAGCAAATGTGAGTTTCATTTGCTCATCTTCGACGCGACGAGCCCTTAGGGCTCTGTCGAGTTCGACAAACCACAGTAACAGGGAGTCCTCCGGGACTCCTCTGTACTTTGAGATGTCAACCTTCATGACCTCGGGACGACGCGCATGTGCCGTCCCGCCCACAGCAGCATGGAATTGCTGCTGTCTCAACAGATCTGTCTGTTGAGCACCGAGTTATCTCAACTGCTCGGCCTGTTGAGAGCCTTGGTGGTGAAGCAAGGCTACTTTCTCCCTTTCGGCGACAAGTTCACTTTGGATGAACTTGGCTATAGCGGCATGTTGTTGGTCTCTGTCTAGAGACTCCAACATGGCGCTAATGGCGAACTCGCCTACGGTAGAACTCATTCGTTCTACCGCACTCCATTCGATGTAACTCAAATGGTTAAACCCTTCACGAGTGGCGTGAAAGGTTTCTTCATCATCCAACATGTTCATGTTGGATGCTGTGGTCCTTGGAAGGACTACAAAGTGCTACCAGGTGTAACGGGGCACACCCTTGCGTGAACTTAACGCAAGGGTTTTGGGTGCCCCGACAGACGTACACGAGGCAAACGAGGAAGCGTAGATAGGGGAAAAGTAAAACTGTTGTATTAGTATAATTAAGTCTTTTTGCTACTGTCTCTCTTTTATAACCTGACTTAATTATGTTAATATAACTGAGTGTATGGTGACGTCTCGTCACCACTCATTGCGCGCGTCCTGCGGCGATTGTTGGGTTGATATCATCAAGATATCAACCAATGAGCAGACCCTTTGGTCGCTTCACCAATATCACCATTATCGGTGATATTGTTCAAAGAATATTCACTTAAAATTCTTTATTGTCACTTTCTTTTAAAGTGACACTTCCATGTAATGGGCTGCCCCGTTACAGGTTATGTCACAATAGTTAAGATACTACGTTATCAATCACCCGTTTATTGCAGTGGTTTGCTTTTTGATCGATGACAAGTAGTTTGCTCTTGTAGATCGCATTTGTTGAGTGTGATCACGAATTTGACATTCAGTTTATGATACATTCCCGTTCGTTACGAAATAGAACATGTCTATGATAATACGGTCACTTCATACAAACAGCATTATGGTCTCAAGGCACACAAAACGCTTCGTAGGTAACATGATTTTGACTGATATACGGTCGGCACCTTTGTAGTTGTAGTATCTACTCTCCTGTAACCTTATAGATATGAAAGCAAAGCGCGCGGTAGAAGTTGTGACGACGCACCTTACGGTTTCGTAGGCACATATAAGCTATAAACACTGATGACGGTGCAGAAACGTTCTCCCGGACTTTTGGCGCACAGTTGTGCGAGGAAGCGTTCTACTGCCAGACGGTAGCGCTTAGTAGTGTTCGATGGAATTGTAGTTACCATGACCGCTGTCTTTTAGCACGGTAAGTCACCGATGATGACAATGTTGGCTGATGATATCCGCCTACCTCAGTCAAAGAAACGACGCATACGGTCAACAGCTACCAGATGTCTGTCACCCTCCAAGGTAAACCGATGACTACCGTTCGCTAATACAACACTCTCACTGCCCGTTAATTTCATGTAAAAATGTCATGTAAACAGGCGCACGCCATCGCAGACGTAACTTCTCAGAAGCAAATACGATATTTATACGACACATTGGGTGCGTACGGTCGAATGTAGCTGCGTGAAGGACTCAAGACGTCGTAAACATGGTGTGGGCCAATTTAACACTACTGATGGAGGCATTACAACGTATCAATTGACTATCCACGGGGTCACGCAAAGATAACAGCATTGGCATGCTCAACGCTTTCATTAGCTATGGTAGCAGTATCGTAGAAAAGCGAAACCCGAAGCAGCTATTCGTTACTTATCACTCGAGAAAACAACACGCTGTGTGTTTATCTCAGTCCCGTGATGTATATTTCTCGTTCGATGACTAAAGCCTGATTAAAATTGATTTACATTTAGTATACACGCATTGCCTTTAGCAACGTACGAGAAGGTAGTAAGGAGTCAGTTCATTCCGAGCTGCCAACGACACCCGTGTCGCTCGAGAACCTAAAGTGCAAACAGGAAGCAAAAGGCCTCACAAGCGAAGCTGTTTCATATGCACTCGCTCACCAATTCCTCGTCGCTTCGCCTGGTCTCTCTCTCTCTCTATATATATATATATATATATTTGCAGCCAATCGGAACCCGTTACAAGTTGTCAAGAACGACGCAACCGGATCCGCAAAAATGCCCCAGCAACGCACGAACGTGGCGCGGCCGCCCGGTTCCAGTCTCATGGTACGGATAGGAAAGGACAGACCCGTTCCTCGTTCAAAGCGGCACATAGCTTTGTGTATTACGTGGGCTCACGTTGTTGCAGCATTGGGTGCACCTGTGTCAATCAGGTCAAGACCTTTCGGGCTTAGAAGGCCAACCTCCTCGTCGGGCGATTTCCATCGCAGAAGTTGGCGAACATGACACGGAGAGCGACTGTTGGAGCGTCTTGGACGGTCGTGTGTACAACATGACGCCGTACCTCACGTACCATCCTGGCGGTGTCGCCGATCTCATGCTGGCAGCAGGAGGGGACTGCTCCAGCCTCTTTTACGAACACCATCCGTGGGTCAATGGCCACAGTATGCTGGAAAAGTGCTTTATTGGCCGACTCGATCCAGAGTCAAGTGCGACCCGAGGAGATACCGCGGCGTCGACGGCTGCGCTGCACAAGACCCAGTGGCAGCTGTTTCAACTCGTGTCGAAGCAGACGGTCGGTCAACAGACTGTTAAACTTACGTTCGCGTTGCCTGCTAAGAAGCTGCTGGGATTGGAGATGCCAGGGCAGCATGTGAAAGTGCGCGCTATGATACATGGTCGATTCATCGAGCGGCCGTACACACCCACGTCGAGAATCGACCAACCGGCGACGTTCGACTTGATCGTTAAAGTGTACTCGGATGGAATCATGAGCACATATCTGGACAAATTACAAGCTGGCGACTGCATCGAGATGATGGGGCCGCAGGGAACAATTGGCTACCCAGAAGCCGGTGTTGTAACAGCTGGAGGTCAATTGAAGCTGATGAATGTGCATCATGTCGTGATGGTTGCTGCTGGGACGGGTATTACACCGATGATGCAACTTATCCGTGCGATTGTCGAGAATCGCAAGGATACGGCCAAGATTACGCTGGTGGACTGCAATCACTCGCTCGAGCACATCATCGCGCGCACGCAGTTAGAGCCGCTAGCTAATATGTTCCAAGAGCGAGTCAAGGTTCATCATGTGCTTCATGAAGCCACGAAAGATGACCTACAAGAATTAGGATCGCTGCGAACTGGCAAGCGACTAAGTAAGGAAGTGCTTGCCGAGTTGTTGCCAGAACCGTCACCTGATGTGGCTGCATTTCATTGTGGCCCGCCTGCATTTGACGAAGCTGTCAGCAGTATGCTGAAAGATATCGGCTACAAGGGTACTCACATTTTCAGGTTTTAGGATGGTATACGCCGCTGAACTCTTCACGTTCATGTTGCTGCGATGCAACGCCGTATAACGTTCGACGTCTTTTGTCATTGTTCTTGGGTACTTGCAATCGCTTTTAGAATCGAAAGATTTGCGAAAGTGTTGTAACGCTACAACATGGGAAACTAGAGGACTTGCACGAAGTTGTCAGGCCTCGCGTACCGTAGCTAAATAGTAATCTCGACTGTATCTACCAGACCGGATAAGCTGCCGCTGCTGGTGTGTTTCCGCTACCAACAAAACATGTGCTGATCGCTGATCGCTCGTGCAACTCGGGCAGCAGAAAGATATAAGCATCGACACCTAGCGCGATCGAGATATCAATGCACGAAATACGTCACGCTGCACGTTCTGGCGTTACTGAGTTAGGTCCGATAAGGTTGCAGTCTTCGACAGGTTCGTGCCTAATAGAGCTAATGAAGTGATGTTGCAGACCGGCAAGTCATGTGACGCACGTCATCATCAGTTTGTGCATCGAAAGCGATCGAGGAACGCACGACTACAGTGTTTGAATGACAAGCTGGAAGTGTAGTGAGACATCTACATGGCGGGTGAGAGCCAAGTTAGTCAGTTGACTACAGAATGTAGCAGGATCACGATCTCAGTTCACAAGTGGTAGATTGCATCAAGACAAGGTGAAGACCAACTTGCTCTTGCAACTGCCAGAGTATGAAAGCTTATGACTTTGTTGTAGGACGACGACTTGGTTTGGATGCATTTATGTACACTAATTGACCAAGAGGGCATGCATGGTGCTCGAATCCGGGTTACAATGTATGTCTTGAGAGCCACATGAGTCATTTTGCTGAACTAAACTTTGCGTTGTCTGTTGTTCCCTTACATTCGGTGACGGAGGCGATATGACACTACTCATACCGACAATGTCGATACAAAGCACGGACATTGCTTCATACAGAATGTTCATTCAAATAGGACAATAAATTGTTTGCGCGATGCAATTATTTACGTGATGATAGTAAAAAAGACAATTTATTGAGGAACATGGAAGAGGGTGAACTATGCGCCAAACAATCATGAAAATGAGCCACATTATCGAAAAGTGAACCATCAGATGAAAAAAAATAACGCATCACAAGATTGAATAAAAAACCATCACACGATGTATACCATACGATCGATTATACGAATGCTTCAGATTACATACTTGCTTCTATGTGGTTGTTGCATTGCAATAAAAGGTCGTACTACTGTAAAAGACCGAGCAACCACAGTGGTGTGGTATACTAAAGTTCTTATAGAACGATTTTCCCAGTGGTATGGTCGGATCGGAACGATTTTCAGTATCCATTGACCACTTACTTTTTCACCATACAAGTTGCGGACACGCAGGTACGTCTACCACAGGAAACATAGACCTTCGATCTTCGAAGCAGCATCAGTATTCCGTGTCAGCGCGATGATACCGACTATGTCAAGAACGTAGTACAAGGCAGTGTGAGTCGATTGAGCTACAACGTCGATGCGGACCGAGAGGGCAGCGGTTTCTGCTCTCGTCTGCTTTACGTCCTTCACTGTGGGCAGCAATATTGCATCGGTATATATATACAACTTCCTGATGCAACATACAGATCACCAGCTTTACCACCGGTAGTAGCTCCATTATTAATGAACGTAATTCTCTATCAGCGTCGCGCGTTCTATCAGCGTGTCTTCCGCTTGGTTGTCCGCAAGTGTCTGTATGACCGCCTGCAATAGCACCAACAAAATTCCGTCTGCTCTTCTGCATAATGTCCGCTCTTGCGTTTTTGTTCATTCGCCGTCTTATGCTGGCTCGAGTCGACCCTTACACGTCTCACACATCATTGTGCAAGCGCCTTATTGACACTGCGCTGTCTCTTCTTATATTACGTAAGCGATACCGCCAAGGCGACAGCTGCACATAATCCAGTGTCCTCTCATTAGATGTGGCTAAAAGAGATAGAAACCTTTACGGTTCAAGCTGGTATGGACGAACAGGAAGCTTTGGCCAACGTTGCTGCAAGTTTGTGGTGTAGAAGGTAAGTTGGAAAGTAATTGAAATGGAGTTGGCTTAAGACTCAAAAGAACTACAGGGCCCTGCGGCTCTGCATCTATTCTCCTGGATGTAGCCACCAGGCACACGACACGAGTTGGTGTGACCTTGCCATTCGCGACTGCGTCGTTATCGACTAGATCCATACAGGATGACTGAAGTTGATGTCTCACTTCAACATGTAAAGTATGTACCAGTCATGCACCCAGGTCGATTGCGTGCATCTCAGCTTATGCGCTGTTGTCAGCTTTGTTCGTCGCTCGTCCTTGTGCGCCCAGCAGAAACAGTGTGGCCATACAATCGAGCGATACTATCGGGTGACGCTTGGAGCGTCAACCGACCTTTGTCATGATTCAGCAAACGACTGGCAACAAACCGAGACGAAGGTTTCTGATCAACGAGACAGAAGAGAAAATGAAGAAAATACACAGGCATGTACACGAATGATTCCTGGCATGTGTATAAATCTCTGTTGGGCCGCGTAGTAGTATACAGTAGCAGATGCGCTTTATTTTCTCACCTGGTGGTGCATATTTCATTTCTTTCATCTTGTCGTACATTTCTTGCATGTCCATGCTTCACATTCTGCGATCATCTACGTATGTAGTGCAATTAGTATTGTTCCCAGAGGGCGCCATGTCGTACGAATGTGACTTGCTCATTGTGTGACGCGGGGGCGTCATGAACAGTACACATCACGTCTAGGATCGTTTGACAGCCCTATCCGGTCGTCAATTGAGGAGCTACTTCCTCGTGTGCTTCAGTTTGCTGCGACCAGTCAACTCCTCCACCCGCTTCCTACTCAATGCGTCGTCACTACACCCACTTCCACTTGTGCAGCAAAGTCTCACTCAATGGATTTGACACCTACTCCTCCTCTCTCTCTCTTTCTTCCTCGCTCTCTCACTGTCGCACTACGCTTACAATCGAAAGAGCTGCACGCCACACGCGTGTGCACGTGCGTTGCAGCAGCTACAGTGACCGTCCGCGACTCGGTCTCTACGCTTCGTCGAGGATCGTCGTCTTGACAATGCGGCTCGTGACCACGTACGGGTCCATGTTGGACGCGGGACGGCGGTCTTCAAAGTAGCCCTTGCCCTCGGCCTCGGCCACGCGCGGGATGCGAATCGACGCCCCGCGGTTCGCCACGCCGTACGAAAACGTGTCCATGCTGGCCGTCTCGTGGCGCCCCGTGAGCCGGCGCTCGTTGCCCGTGCCGTACGCAGCAATGTGCTCCTTGTGCTTGAGCTTCATCTTCTCAATGGCTTCAATGATCGCGCCCATGCCGCCGTCTTCGCGCATGGCGATGGTCGAGTAGTTGGTGTGGCAGCCGGCGCCATTCCAGTCGCCGGGAATGGGCTTCGGGTCCCACGACACGTTCACGCCAAAGTCTTCGCACACGCGCAGCAGAATGTAGCGCGACATCCACAAGTGGTCGCCCGACTCGATGCCCGTGCACGGCCCGACTTGGTACTCCCACTGGCCCGGCATGACCTCGGCGTTGATGCCAGAGATGTTGAGGCCCGCGTAGAGCGACGCGCGGTAGTGGGCGTCGACAATCAGCCGGCCAAACACCGAGTGCGCGCCGGCGCCGCAATAGTACGGCCCCTGGGGACCGGGGAACCCGCCCCGGGGCCAGCCGTAGGGCGTCACGCCGTCCTTCTCAAAGAGCGTGTACTCTTGCTCAATGCCAAACCAGGGCTCGTGGCTGGCAGCAGCGTCCATGACGCGGGCCGCGTCGGCGCGCGTGTTGTTGGCAATGGGCGTCATGTCGGGCTTGAGGCAGTCGCAGAGCACGAGGAGGTGCTTGCCGCGTCGGAACGGGTCCTTGAAGATGGCGACGGGTCGCAAGAGCACCTCCGAGTCCTCGCCCGGGGCTTGGCCCGTGCTCGAGCCGTCAAAGTTCCACACGGGCAGGTCCGCGACGGACGTCACGTCGTGGGTCAGCGTCTTGGTCTTGCAGCGCAAGTCCTGACCCGACCCGCCGATCCACACGTACTCGGCGAGGGTCACGTTGCCCGTGTCGAGCGACATGTACTGGTCGTACACGGCGCGGTCCAGTGAGCTCATGGTCGAGGGAAAAAGGGATGGGGAGGGAGGGATGGAGGGAGGAAGGGGGGGCACTGGACGGACGGGAGGTGGGCGAGTCGCACGTGGCAAATTGGATTGTGGGGAGGACGGACGAGCGGAGCTCCTGGCGGAGGAGGGCGAAGAGCGGGCGGGGCGACGTGCTCCGATCGTTGTCCGAAGCGAGGGGGGCAAGCCGACTGCCGTGTGTTTTTTTCCTGAAATGGTCGTCGCTCTTGTTGTAGTTAACAACAGGACCTGAGAGATCTGATACGCGCTGCACGACCCACGCTGCGGAATCGCTCGTTCGTTACAAACACATTGTCGGACGCGGTCTCGACACTCTGGCACAGCAGCTGTGCAAAGCGGCGACGATGCCAAACACACTGATCATGTGCTGCACCATGTGTGCTCTCATCGACGGCCATTCGTCGTTATGGCCACGGTCGTTGACTACACGCTGTCGTTGCCAATAGCCTATGAGCGCTTTCACCACCTTTCTTACGCGGGCAGCACTGGCACGAAAAGCACACGCAGCACGATGATACGCGGCTGTCAGATGTAGCGACAGTTATTGACAGTAGTTGTGGTGGAGATATGGCATCAGGACGATACGCATTCGGTCGTGGGCGCTACAGAGTCGTAAGCAGCCGTGAGACGCTAAATCGATGCTGGATGCGCCTGTGACCTGCAACAACTAATGTCGGCAAAAAGATCCCTCTGATTCCGTTGACGCGTCAAGCGTGGAGCGTTGGGATTGGATGAATCGAGTGACACGGTACAGCCGGGGATAGGGCCTGACGCTCGCGTCGCACGTGCCGCAATCGAGACACCACCATCATTGTTGTGATGCAAACATGGCCGCGTGGAAAAGGCACGACGGACGATGAGTCGTCGAGCAGGCGACTTCAAACGCTGGCATTATCAACAAGAGGTGCTGCGTCATTTATCTACAGCCATCGATGCAGTGTGGCGGTATCACGCGACGTTGCGGTCGATGGGTATGGTCGATTGCCTCGATCTATGCGTGGTATTATTTCAGGGTTGATTGGTTCTTTCGTCGTCGTAAACTCACAAAAACTTTCGGCCGTCCACCCTCTTCAAACGCACAACTGGTGGACGGTCTTTCTCTGTGTTTGCAAAGCCTTGAAGCTCCGGAGAGTATAACAACCGGGAGACTCAAGCAGGGACTGTCTCGCCTAAAAAAGCAATTTGTGCAGCTTTCGGTACGGTATGCTGCGTTGAAGCCGTAGGTGACCAATGTATGCGGACGAAGTTGTAAACAAAATTTCGGATTTGCGGGAAAGAAGTACGACGTGGCGACTCTGAGGAGTAACTTGTACCACCCAAGAGGCTGGTAGTGCAAGTACGATGCGACCATCTCTGGCAATTCAGTTCATCGAAGTTCACCGTACGTACGTACGTACCCGTCGATACGGCTGACTGGCATCGACTGTGCTCTTTGCCTCGCATGTCGTCGTAGCTCCTGACGGTGACCTCATGTAGTGGTATTGGTGTCCGCACGTATGAGCTACAAGTACTATAGCCAATGTCTTCTGTCGCGGTCTGCTGTCCGAACGACAATCACTCGAACAGACACCACTTTCTCCGTGGCAGATGGATCGTAGTTGCAAAGTGGACCGGTCAACTACCAGCACCGCTTATGCGACCGCGTAGTCGTCGCACGAGGGCTACTTCGCGCTTCGAGTATATCGGCTCGCTTCTCTGACGACCGTTATCTCGTCTATCGAGCGGTCACCACACTGCGTAGAGAGAATGATCAACGATCGTTGCGAGCTGTGCGAATACTGCGAAGGGCCGTGCCACCTTCCAGCCGCGCTTTTCATGTCTCCTTCGTGTGCGATAATCAGCAGAGATAGTTTGTCAAATGTTACGGATTGGCGTCGTCCGGACAAGTCGTTTGTAAGGCAGCGATAGCACGAAAAAAGTGTGGCGATAGACATTTGTTTCACGCGGCGAATGTGTGTCCTGCTTTGTAAGCGACAGCACTCTCTACCTGGAAAGACCACAGTGGCAGAGTGTGCTCGAGCAGTAAAGCACAGGACTCTTGTTTTAGCACCTACCGCCGGAGTCCGGATCCGATCCCTATCAGAAAAACGTGGTCCTATGTATCCTCTTTCCATTCATTGTCACCCAACCAGTCTGGCCAATTCGGCACGTCAAGAGCTCCTACAAGCCAACTTAACACCGGTACCACTTCCGTGATCACGCTTGACCATGTTGTGGTTCGATTAGCACATGACTCACGACGAGGCGTGCACACAACACGAAGGCTTGTGATGCTGTTGCTGCTGCAGAGTCCCAATGCTGCCTCGGGGGTGATTCAGACGGAGTGAATGCAGAAGAGGTCGTTCATTTTCAGTAAAAAGCGAGCAAACCGGAACAGAATGCTCAGGTCTACTTACTCGATCAGCAAACGCAATCAGCCGATCGAACGCTCGCCCACTCGCTGTGGCTACCTGACTGGCTATTCACGCACTGCAATCAAGTCAACTGCGTTTGGACTTCTTCTTTTCGTGGCCATCTTGAGCATATCGAGGATGCTGTTGATCGGACGACGACCGCTGATGTGTGCGATAGGAGTCGCGACTGTTGGCGTCGCTCCCGCCCGAGTCGTCGCTACTGTCACTCCGTCTGCGTCGCTTGGTACAACCCATCGACTCGTGTACATGCTGACATTTCTCCTTCTTCTTCGTCTTCTTCGTCTTCTTCTCCTTCTTCTCCTTCTCCTTCTTTGCCGTCTTCTCCTTCTTCTTCTTCTTTCTTGAACGTCGGTCGTCGTCCGAGACGTCCGAGTCCCAGTCATTGATAGCAGCGAATGCCTGTGGGTTCAACCCGCTGCCCGTGCCGTCGCTACTGGTCACTTGAGAGCGCCTTTCGTGCGTCGAGTGCATCGATTTGTCCCGTGATGCGTCCAGTTGCTTGCGATATGCGGTCGTGTGGTGGCTGGACGGGTCTCTCTTGGCCTCGGCCTCCAGCTTCTGCAGCTTAAAGCCGACAAGCTGGTCGTACATTTTTTGCAGCGTCGACCCCGCATCTGCGCTCTTGATCAGCGACTTGCCGTGGTCCTGACGCTTGTGGCGTTTGCACGTCCCCGTGTAGCACTGCGGACACGTCGACATCGTGCGGACAAATATGCTCGAACAGAATTTACGTCGTGTTTGTTCGACTACAAGTGGCTCGCTACTTATGTAGGAGGCGTACTTATGACAGAAACAGTCTGGCGAAACGAAAAGGGCCAGTTATTCAGTCTGTTTTGACGCAGCCAAGTTCGATCTCGAGGCGCAGGATCGAGTTGCGCAATTCTTAGAAGAAATGGGATGGTGTGTACCCAAAACACTTCCGTGAAAAATGCGATGTGATTGGCTTGCGACCCATCACTTTAGAGATTCTGCGCGCAGCCCTATCAGCTAGTCGCAAACAGCGTTTGAGATACCGAGATTGTCACACGATCAAAAACCATCGATTAGATGTTTCTCGAATAGTCCATAGTTCGATATCTAATTTGCTTATGCACATTTTAGGGTGCGGTATAGTTTACTATCCACCAAAAACAAGTTTGCAAAATATTTGTGCGAAATAATCAAAGTAACCTCGATAGGTGGTAAAGCTAGAGTATGCATGATCCGTCCAGACATCGACAATCTTTCTGAATGTCAGCTGATATTCTATGTGTTTACTCTCATGCGAAGAGCGCGACATATGCGTGACAGTCAGGGCTTTGTACTTGCATCAACACGACTTCCGCCCCAATCCCCAACTATTACGAGCAGAGCAAAGCCTTCCCTATCTTTCGAGTTGCAAACAAGTTTTGCATTATATGTGCTTTGGTTCATGTTGGTGGTAAAGCAAATTAAGAACGTGGTGACGGCGATTATAAGCAGACAGACCGAGCGTACTGCATCGTCAAGAAACATGTCACGCACTGATCAATATGAGGAACACTCGAGTCACTAATATGGAAAACAGTCACCTCGCTGATAGAATCTATACTCGCCTGACTAGACAGTTTCGTTGCTAGCAGTCTCTAGCATAGCTACGGAATATTCCCACAGTTTCCAGTCGTGTGGACTGGGCGCCATTCTTTCTATGGTAGCACTTATGAAGTGCGCTGCGAGCTTACATTATCGCGCAGTGCGCTACAAGCGTACATTCTTGCGTCCGAGTACTTCATTGACGATCACTTTTGGATCCAAGTGTTCAATAACGAGAACTGCAAAAACAAAAAGTGTGCGATGTCTATGTCTTGGGCCTGAAGCTGACATTGAGGAGTTTGCTGGGCACAGTTAATGCATCTGAATCTAGTTCCGTCGCGGTACCCGATCACCATGTAATCGCGTGACTCAGTGCCAGTCGCTGCGCTAGCGCAGGCTTTTTCCTGACTTTACCATCGAGTGCGGTGAGTTATAAGATCAGCATTTTTGTCAGTTCGCCGAGAGATACAACACGCAGGTAGTTCTTGCGGCGTCTCTATTTCAGCCTTTGCGGAGGCGCCACGCTTTACACATACACTGCTTACTTGTAAAATACGTTCGAGCGAGCGAGTATGCAAGCGAGCAATGTGTGCTCCTTCTCGAACGTTACGTACGCCTTCTTTCGCTCTCAAGTGCATATCTTGCTGACTTTGTGCTCGCTTACGTTCTCTCAATTGAGCAAAATAGCACGGTCTTGCCCAGGTCTACGTCGACACCTAGAAAAATGCTGCAACGTCTCGCGCTGATGCCGCCACTCGCCATCTTGGTCCTTCGATGTCCGTCTAAAATCGCGATCCGCACGTCACATTCGCGTATTGATCTCCAGAGTGCTTCAAGTGCCACGTCGCGAATAACATATTACCCGCTGCAGTGCACATGAACACAAATGAGCTAATGCGGTTCTTTTGGTACGTCTTGATAGACACGCCATCGATGTACGCGCCAGAATCGGTTGCAGGCTCGTCACTTTGTTGCCATCAAGAACGCCGAATCATACGTAAAGTCGTGCTCTTGTATGTGCCAGAGCATCCACTATCGATGCCGATCGATTAAGCCTCGACTAACTTCCGTCATTTCACTCATCTCTACTCACTTCTCCGCCGACCCACAAGCAGTGCATTTCGTCCAGCAACATATCATCACTGCAATTCAGCGACATCGGTCAAGCTCGATACAGGAGCCACCACATGATCGTTGTGCAAACGGAAGCAGATGCTGGCCGCGTGCACCCGTTTGCTACGATATCGTTCAAAGCGAGAACAATCTGGCAAAACGTGATACCGATCCGATCACGGCTCTTAATGCTCGATGATGCAAGCATAGGTAGTGTCGTTGTTTGATGCGACTTCATGTCATGATACACAGCTGGTACCACAAGCGCACCCATTCGACTAGGATCGTAAGTTGCGATCACCAGATGGGTATGGTGAAACGCACGTTGCGCATCGTTCGACTAGTACGTCACGCCACCAATCCTTCGAAATGACAGTATGTTCATACGTGTATTCTGAACTGTGTAAACCCGACAATCGTCAGCAGACGCGAAGAGAGACCACAACTTGTTTGCTGGAGCCTGCCCACTTCGACTCGTCCCGCGAAGATCTTCTTTGACACGGCGCATCGTCAACATCAGTCTCAACAGCGGCAGCAGCAGTGTCTGTCGATAGCTCATCGCTGAGTAACCTTGCTGAGATACCGGTGATCGTTTGTCCGCGAAACACGGCCATTAGTGACCCAGATGTGCAGAGCCTCCCCTCTGGAGCACATGACTATCAGATGCGTTGACAGGTATCTTTTTCAGGAAATAATCTCAAGAGCGCGTTCTCCGTGCGCGCCCATGCAGTGTGCCAAGCATGAATCGTTTGCACACGCCTGCCCATGGCGAAGACGAACTCTGTTGTCGCTGCGTAACTATGGCAGAGACGCGAAAAACATCTCCGGCTTGCTTTTCGCGCTAACCGGACAATGACAAATCGTGACAGGTGTATCGAGGCAGACCGCTCGCTTGCTCTGGTGCTTTGGTATTGCTAAGCGGCATACAAATAGTTCAAGCGGTAAGTGGGATGCACTTCATGCGCAGCTCTAGGAGCTTACAGCATACGACCGCCTTATTGACCCAGCTAGCACCTATGAACGTCAACCAGGCGCTCGACAAGGACCTGAAGATCAGAAAAGCTTTATGGCCACGGTCTCGGCGGAGCTGTTGGCATCAAAAAGGGCTCTGAGTAAAGTGCGCTCCCTAGGGACACGCCACCAGAGCAACATCGTGATACATTTGCCAAACCGCCCGTCTTGAAGTACCCCCAAAGTCATAAACGCGCTTGAGCACAGACTTGGCGACGAAAAGTGTGCTCGCAAGAGCAAAGCAACAGGCGGAAGCGCAGAGCACGAGCCAAAGCGACGGTACGCAACGAGAGATCGCTCAGAACAAGGCACTCATGTTCACACCGTGTGTCCGACACTTGAAACACGAAAGCAGCTCGAGCTGTCGAAGTTGACCACGCTAGTCACCTGCCCATAGGACCGACACGCGACAAACCGAACGTTAGTCGTGCTACTGAGACGGTTTCGAGCGTCGTCGACGCTCGGTTGCAAGGCTTTGACAACGAGTACGCTACGCCCCTATGTAGAGAATACGGTTTCTGATTTGCAGGCGTCATGCCTCTGTTTTTCGCACTTGGCGCCCCTCCACATCGCTTCAAACCCGCCGTTTGAACCCACGCTGTTCTCCATGGCAAGTCCTGCTTCGCCTTCTTTTCGCCCTGCGTTCGTGTGCGTCGAGGTTGTCGTGCGCCAACATGCGCGCGTGCACGCACTCGGCCACGTGGTCGTGCAACTGAAGGCGCTCCTGGATGTATCCAAGGTCTTGTCGGTCGCCGTAGCAGCGCAGAACCAACCGCCAGAATCGCAGTCGTTACATTTGTTGACACACGCGGCCGCTCGAGAGAAGAGAAAAGTGGTGAACTGGTCTTCCGAACTCGTTCGATGCTATCAACAATTTCAGTTCCAAACAGCGTTGAATAGCGCTGCTGCGCGAGGGTTTTTCGCGGGCGTGCGATGGCTACGATCGTCCTACTACCCAAAGGGTCAATTTCATGGGGCCGAACGAGCGGCTTTGTATGGTGGGAATCTACAAATGTTACAGTATCTGCACGGTGAGTTTGGCAATAAAATGGTGGACGACGCGGCAGTGGACAGTCAAGATGCAGTGGCTCATGCAGCAGCCAATGGACGACTGGACTTGGTCCAATGGTACTGTACGATGAAAGGTCCTTATGCATTTGGATGGAATGCTATGGACGCTGCCGTGGCGCAAAACCGAATGGAAGTAGTGCAGTATTTGGACAGTGTGCTGGGCAATCGGTGCACTCGACGAGGGCTGGAAAAGGCAGCGCTACACGGACACTTGGAGGTGATTCAGTGGCTCAACGACTCAAGGTACTATGAGATCAGGTCGTTCAAATCGTTGGAAAATGCCATTGCAGGAGGACACTTGCACATTGTGCAGTATGTGATGAAAAATGTGATGCTCGCGTATACGTCATGGATGCAAGCAGCACTAACTGCAGCCGTGACGTACGGTCAGCGCCATATTCTACAGTGGCTGCATGACAGGGTGTCAGCTGACTCCAGTGGGTTCCACTCACGCTTTCGCTTTGAAATTTATACGAACATGCTGTATGCTGTGGCCAAAAACGGACATTTGGGGGTATTGCAATGGCTACATGCTAACCGATACCCCGTGCATTGTCGCCGAGCACATGTTGTTCGCGGAGCTGCTACAGGTGGTCACAAACGCATTATCAAGTGGATGGAAGAGACGTTTCCCTCGCTATCCCGACAGCGTCATCGTATTCGTGTGGATGGTGCTGCGAGTTTTGGAGATCTTCAGATGATTCAGTGGCTGTACCGTCAAGGGTATCGCTTGACGGCCCGCGCGATGGACGACGCCGCAGCAGGTGGACATTTGTCAATACTGTGCTGGGCGCACCGAAGTATTGGCCATTTGTGTTGCACAGTAGCTGCGATGGATCGGGCTGCTGCCAATGGTCACTTAGACTGCATAAAATTTCTTCATCAAAACCGCAACGAAGGCTGCACGACAGCAGCAATGGACGGTGCTGCGCGGAATGGTCACTTTGAAGTTGTGCAATTTCTTTACTGGAACCGCAGCGAGTATTGTACAGCGTTGGCGGGTGAATCGCGTTCAGTTCCAGTGCTTCAGTTTTTGAAAGAGCACAATCGCTTGCGTTCGCGGCTTCCGAAGACGGTTGAGGCGGCTGCGAGAGGGGATTTGGAATTGCTACAGTGGCTTCATGACCACGATCGGAGGCACTTTGGCTTTGAGACCATCGTTGATAAGGCTCGTGAGCATGACCATTTTCACGTTCTATGCTGGCTGGAAACGCTGCCAGAAGCTGGACGGTATTTGTGAGCTAACGTTGTGTGACAGGTGGGCCACATTGTTGTGCGCATTCTATATTGTAACTTGCATGGCATTAGACTATTCTGTCTGTTCGCAGTGTCCGTCTAAACACGAGTATCTAGGACATATGCAACCATGATTTGATTCGGGCCACGAACGGAGACACTCGCGATATTGTTGGGGTACACGGAAGTTTTTTTTGGGCTGGAGCGCAGATACGCTTTGCCGGACAGAAAATGTCGGTTTGTGTGCTAATGAAAGCGTTTGACTGGTCATTGCTTGCAACAAGACGGAGGAAGAGGTGGAGGGGAGCATCAAGTTAGCTGCAGATGGCAATACTCACTCCGATTGACTACAACTCGGAGGACCGTATTGAACTTAGCTAAGGTAGCGAAGCAATCCCCGGAGCTCCCCCTTATGGATAATATACGCTACAGAGATCTGACGAAAGTTTTGAATGTTCCGATACCTGAACAATGTGCTTGGGATCGGCCGCTAAGGAGGGCTCCTGCGGTGGACAGCGTAACAGCCACAATGTTGCCATGGTTACCCTGTGATGTAGTATTTTGTTGTCGTTGTTCGATGTGTTATAGAGAAGTTAAAAAAGAGCGGCGTCAGCTGATTTAGTCTGTGCTGCTACTGCAAAATAACGACACCGGTAACGTAAATCTGCTTAAAGAGAAGGCAGGAGGAGTTCAGGAGCTCCATCTGCCGCCGGACGAAAAGGGTATCATTTAATTCTTTACGTTTCGTTTCCCAAAGCACTACAAGTGGATATGTTGTAACGCATTTCAATGTTTTCATGTGCTACTCTATTACATTTAAGAATTCGGAAATAATACACCAAATAACCGCCAGAATAAAAATTCCACAAAATGAGAAAACAAAATATGCATTTTACAATGTAAAAGTACAACGAATGCACCAATCAATTATCATGAAACTAAGATGTACAATATACGTTTGAGCACAAACGTGCTTAGCTTCGGATCACTGACCAGAGCATTAATGATTTTATCGTCCAAATTCATGCAGTTATCGTAGAAAATTGACAAGAATTGGCTGTCACGACAACAGAAGGATTTCCGATCGGGCTTTAGTATCCATTGATAGTTTTGTTATACACCATGACAGTTGGTGGTATGCAAATCTTTGCCGCAGGATAATCAAACTCCACGGCGCTAGTGGTATCATTATCCTGTGTTTTGCGAAAAAACAAAAATGCGATGCATGCACTCATTACTTATTTATCAAATAAGTAAGCAACATATTACTCAGTTGTCAACATGTTGCTTACTCATTCGATTCATTTAAAAACGCTAAACGATATACTCAAGTCAAGACATATCTAGTCGCCCGAAGCCAAGTCTAGAGCGAGCAAGGGGTTGGGGAGCACTTCAATACTATATCGATAATACTTTTTGAAATAGCGCAAGCAGAAAGTCTCATTTTACTTGCCTTCGGCTTACATACGAGAGCAGCGGCGATGTGTTTTGCGTCCTCTTTCAGCTCGACCTCGCTCTGCAGACCTACTGGGAAAAAGAGAAGCAGCATTGCTCGTTCTGTGTATACCTTATTGTTTTGCCGCAAATACAGTCGAACCTGTCTAAAGTAATACTGCCTAATGTAATGATCTACACAAGGTAATATTCTTTTCTGGTCCCGACTTGGGACCCATATTAAAAGTAATAAACCTCCCTGAAATGATACTTGATAGCCAAAGGCTGGTCCCAAATTTTTGTAAAAGTAATACTCATAATATTGAGGACTTTAAAATTGAGTGTAAAGCAGTTAATGGGCCTTGGGAAAGAATTCAAAGATAGGCTTCTGCACCAGTTTATTAGTCCTGATCTTCCCAATTTTGTCCTTCATTTGCTGGAGGCTTATAAGGAAGTCCTGGTCCAGGTCTGACTGCTGGAACCAAACTTATTTAAGCGTCTGCGTGGCATCGAGTGCCTGGGATGACATGACACGAGGAAGCTATTCCGTGTCATCTTCCTATTCCTCCACTTGATCAGATCGAAGGTACTCAGCAATGATCTCATCTTCATCTGGTGCGTAGGCGACCTCCTCCTTAGCAAGGTAGTTAAGAAGGACTTTATTGTCCATTGGGTTCTGGTACCGCAACTGACGGATTTGCAATTAAAGGTCTTCGATGACCTCATTGTCGACCAGCTGTTGTGCAGTAAGTTTAGGGGTTCCCAAAGCAACCGAGCGAATCTTGCAATGAAGGAAGCAATTCGAAATTGTTCGGCCTTGACGTCTGAGTTCCAAGCTGCATTTGCCATCCGAATGGCCTGAAGAACATCCACCCTCTCCGGATCTTCCACATTTTGCTCGAGGCGATGAAGGATCAAGCGATTTATTTCCTGCGATAATAGGCCTTCAAATTCCTGATTATTCCTGCGTCGCACGGCTGGAGTTTTGAAGTCGTATTTGGTGGAAGGTAAAACACCTTGGAATTGCGCAACCGGATAACTGTAGGAAGTTGGGCAAGCGATATATGCGCACTTCAGCTATCCATTATTAAAAGAACTTGGCGTCCGGCCATGCGAGCATCAAATGATTTCAGCCACTCGTCGAAGATGGCTTGTGTCCTCCATGATTTACTGTTGTTTCGGTACTTGCAGCCGATGGTGTCAAGGTTGATGTCTTCAAAACAACGCGTACTTTTGGACTTTCCTATGACGAGGAGTGGCAGCTTGTCACTTCTATTGCCATTGCAGCACACTGCCAAGGTGATACGCTCTTTGTTTTGTTTGCGGCCTTCCAGTTGATTGGTTGCCAGCGAATTATCTGCCTGTGAAAACGTTTACGTAAGCACAACGTGTCACTAAATGTTGCAAACAAGACCACTCACCAAAAAAAACCTGCAGCCGGTAGAATAGCACGGTTTCATCCATGTTGTAGATATCTTTCCACTCGTACTTGTCCAGCGTCTCGCTGATGTTAGGGAGTGATTCCTCGATGAGTGTCATGTCAACAAACCACTCTCTCCCAAAACGGCGAAAGGACTTGATTCCATGCCGGTCTTTAAATAATTACAGCCAGTCATTCGAGAACTGGAACATATCATGCTCAGGGTACAGGTGGTCAAAAGGGCTGCTTTCTCTTTGATAAGACCCCCGCTCACGTTGACGCGTTCCTGATGGCTAAGGAACCACTTCACGAGAGCAGATTCCATATGAGGATACTTAACAATACCTTGACGTTTTGCGTCAAGATTGCTGTTGTCGGCCTTCGCTAAGATTTTCGCTTTCCTCTTGAGAAGGCCGAAAAATTGTAGGCTGACTGACTTTCACCTTGTGCCTCTGTTCTAGCCACTGGATGAGCTCTTTCTGGCTGAGCTGAGGATTCTTATCATGGTGCTCATACAAAGCAATGCGGACCTTGTCCGTCATTGTAGTGTACTGTGCGCCTTCAGGAGGCATATTGGAGGGAGGAGAGTTGTGGTGATGGCGGAGGACTCCCTTTTTATATAGGTGTGGGGTTGACTGGGGGTGGCGGCTGCAGCAAGAAATAAAATGTAAACAAAGCCGATTGGACCGTTTGTCCCAATTGAAAAAAGCCTCAAATTTTCTGGCCTGCCTAAAGTAATAACCTCCGTAAAATAATAACATGACCTCGATATCAACGATATTACTTTATACAGGTTCTACTGTATCATCTTGTCGATCGCAATACAGAGTTTACGAAACATCTCTTCCATGCAGTCGTGACCGAGTATAGAAATTCAAGACCCGCTGCTGTCGCCAGATACTAATAAGTCGTTTTGCCAAGGTTCTATGCTGCAGCGGCTTTTGTCAAGCTTCCCCGACGATGTAAAGCAAATCATCTATTTACAGCCCGACAAGGTTTGTAGAGCTTTAAACCTCGTGCATCCTGATGGGATCCCCTTTCTCTCATGGGGAGTATGACATAACTGTAACAAGGTATCCCGTTACATGAAATTGTCATTAAAACAATCTGACAATATAGAATATTACGTCGAATACACTTTTAACAATATCTCACGACATGGTGATATTGTTGAGATGACCGAAGGGTCTACTCATTGGTTGATATCGTGATGATATCAACCCACCGATCGCTGCTAGACGCGCGCAATGGGTGGTGAATAGACGTCATCATATATTTAGTTATATTAGTATAATTAAGTCAGGACAACAAAGATTAAAGAAGTTATAGGACTTAATTATATTAATACAGTTTTACTTTTACCAGAGACTAGTCTGACTACTTTGTCTCCTTTCCTTCCTCTGTGTTCCTTCAACACCTAGCAGGGCACTGTCGACCACTGTCGTCAGTGGAAGTATACTCCGTACTGGTCAACCAGTACGTAGTCAACAGTGCCCCGTTACAATAACTGCCTCCTACACCGGTTAATGATGGATGGATCCTAATCCACGACCAAGCTACGACTAAGCGAAGAACAATCGGATGGATGGATTGATGAATGGTTAGTAGATAGATGGAATTGTATGAAGCATTCAGGTAGGCACGGTAGAATAGCATGGTATTGAATACAATCTCAATTTTAACTTTGACTCCGCAAGCCCTTTTCAAGCAAGGCTCGCGGAACGATCACCCATATGCAAGCTAAGGGTGTGTCATTTTGATATATCAAAATTTCGTCTACTGCTGTGTATTTTATCCGTGGTAAACGGCGCGAAAAGTCTCGTATGGGAGAGCTTAGCCGATGAGGAATGCGCGATAAAAAACCTGATTCCGTTACACATTGGGTAGTGTCTTTTTCCGCATCAGATCTTACAGACTACATAAGACAACTTCATCGAAGATCGCTAATGAGATTACTGTCAAACTAAGCGCGATGCTGATATACATCATTTACAATTATCCACGTTGTGCTCTAGCAAATAACCGTAGAGACTTGTTTCTGTTCACCAGTCGGATCGTCAATAGGACCTCCTATGTTGGATGGTTGAGTATGAAGAGTCGAGATTTTTGGATCGCTCCTTATTATGGACGAGATGAAGACGAATATATAT